TCATACATAGTCATCGTCAATGTGCCAATTACCAATAAATAACATCACAGATTTATAGCACAAAATAAATGAATAATTAACGATGGTAAGAACAAAGGAAACAACATTAACACAAATATTCTTTTAATTACGAAAATTAAAAGAAAAGTGACGAAGAGAAATCTTTAAATATTTTAATTACATTTGTTAAGTATAGGTACATAGTAAAAATTATTTACAATTCATATTCTAAAGGCGCGAAGTAATTATTTCATCAAAAACATATGTATATTTTAATAGTGTATAAAAATATAAAAGTGAAGAAGAAAGTACATTTTAATAAATAATATTAGTCTTCATTTATCATTTTTAACTTATATTATTGTAACATTAATATACGAGCCTTCAAGAGATTTTATAAATTAAACAACTATATGAACGTAACAGTACTACTGTAAACATATATTGTAAATTTATTTTTACACAAAATCTCTTCATACCACCACATACAATTTAAATGGATATATTAAGTTTTCTATTTTAATTTCCCAAATTTTACAGTCATTCACATTATGTTATGTTACGTTAAAAATATGTAAACTAAGGTTTTCTTTAAAAATTTTTAAACCTAACGGTATTTGTATTCGTCAAATATTATTTTATTACTGACATTGTCTCTCTACTAACATTAATTATAAAGCTCGAATAGAACGAAAACACCCAAGCATATGCTGAAAACAAAAGTTTGTAATAACAACGATGTTGTCTTGTGCAATATAGAAGTTTCCATTTAAAAAGTTTATGAAGACAGTAAGTGTTCTGTTCGTTGCGAATGAATTAAATTAAAAATTTAATATTTTAAGCTAATTATTGATCTGCAACAAATCTGTTTTAATAGAGATTATATGTATATCAATAACAAAATAATTTCACTTACCAGTGAGGATACTTTCCATATCTGATGTGATTACTTTCAGCAAATGATGTTAATAATTTTTTAAAGCAATAACAATAAAAACAATTGAAATATTTCATCTTATTATGAGTTTGTATATTTTATAAATCGTATAGTAACAATTCTGGTTCTAGCTTCTTATTAAAATTAAATTATATTGTACCACCTTTAATTTCTAATTCCACTACAAGTTGCTCAAGTCAGGCTCTCCGAAAACTCTTTAAAGTGCTATGGTACATCCGCACGAATGACATGCTAAGAAACCTTAGAATAGACCCGGTCAAAAAATGAATAAGGGACATAGTTCTGAAACTATACGTGAAAACCGACAGTCTGCCCTACTTAGCACTATCTAATCTTAGATTAGTCACTAGTCGCACTGGGCGGTACGCAGATCTTAGATCAGTCATCGAAGAATCACGAAGTTTTTGAGAAATACTTAAATTAGAAGGATGGGACTCTGCAGAAACCTTCCAGACATCAAAGAGTAAAAGTACCCAGATGCACTAACTCGAAAACACTCAACATGAATTATAAAAGAACCAAAGGGTTTATAATAATTTTATCTCCGATCCTCAAATATGTGTTTGTATTTGAAATTTTTATATTTTAAAGCGAGTTATTTCATACTATGATTTCAACGCTTCCTTGACTTTTTTACTTTCCATATACAACAATTTTTAAAAAGTTACATATTCCTATACTATCCAAATAAATACTCCCTAATCAGAAATGTGTCCACAGCAATTTTATTCTCATTATTATTTTTAATATTATTAATCCCTTTTACTGTTGCTTAATAATTAATAATTTTATAATTGTTTTGTTTTTGATTTCAGTTCATTCTGTTCGGTTTTAATTCTGCTAACGGATTTAAGAGGTAAGTATCTTTTTTTTATTCTGTAATTTGAAATATGCAAAAAAAAAGAGATACGAAGAAAATGAAAGGTAAAAACGAAATGAAAAGCGTATTTAAGGTAAATTTGCCGTTGAATGTCGTTGAAGTTTGTCACACCCACAACGCAAACAAATATTCCAATCACACACACAGTACATAAGTACAAGAGTATAGCCCAGATACAAGATACATCGTACAGCTATTTCAATAAAATAATATTAACTGATTGTATTAAGTTTCTATCATATAATTTAATTCCATTTTAAGAGTATACCAACCTGTGTATCTCTGCTGACGAGCTCATGACTTTTACATAAAATATTGTATATTATTGCAATTCTTCAAAATAGTTAAATTTATCTTCAATTTATTATTAATTTGGTATGCTTAGATTAGGGAAGCTTTTGTTGTAGCAAAAGAAAATAGTATATACTATTTGTATAAGAGTATATTATTTTTTTTCTTTAATAAACTGAAAATTCGTGATACTTAACTTTTTTCATAACAACCGTATCTGCAGATACTAATGTCAAACCTTGCTTTTGGTTTTGAATGCTTTTATTATTACTTTAAATTTATTATTTCTGGCTTTAGTGTAGACTAAAAGTTGTGAGAAAAACACATTTATAAAGTAATACGGTTAAGAAGCATTGAATTTAGCGTCAAAATGTATGAGATTTTGTTTCCTCATTTTCGCGGTTAAGCTTCCCATTTCACTTTTACATAACAAACAAAAATTCAGACATAAATTCTAGAAGGCCGCAATGTTTATTTTTCATGCCGACGAAAGTTTAATAAAAAAATTTGAATAAATTTTTTAATCAGGCAACAAATAACAGTGTTAACAAAATTTGACTATGTGTACGTGCATGTGATCGTTTCTTTCTTTCTCAGTTGATTTGTGGATATATAAGTATGTATGTATGCTGCAACATTTGCTTTGCAGAAATTCGTGCTAACCATGCTTAAATGTGATATCAAAATATGACACTAAGCAACACAAACTACTACTAACGTAGTAGCGGTGACTGCAACAACTTAAATGTATGCAGAATATTTACCGTGCTTTTGCCGCAAGGTAACTCAGTTGATATTTGCATGACAAACAATTTCATTGTAGGGACAATGTTAATATGTATATGAAATGTGGAATGAAATGGAAACCGAATCTCATTGTAAAATTTATCAGCTTGAGAATTGAATTAGAGCAGTCATGTTTCGTTTGCATTTTTGTATATACCTATGTATGTTAACACACGAATGTAGCAATGTTGATTGCATTTATAAAAATGGCTTAAGTGGCAGTGAAGAGCCTCATTTGTTGGAGCAGTTTTAATTGATGCTCTTGTTGTGTGTTGTTGTTGGGTTTTGATGCAGCAGCTAACTTTCACTATTGCCTCAAATCTCCTTAAGTGAATATTAATATATTTATTATTATACTTACTTTTGTTGTCGTCGTTGGTGATGTTTTCATTGTGGTTTTGTGTGCACTTTAACGATGACTTCTAGTGATGAATTCAGCAACTAGAGTAATGAACTTAATTCTACTTTGGGATAAGTGCCTGCATGCATATGCACACACACACACACAAGAGTACCACTACCTAACCTTTACACTCTTCGTGTATAATAACATTTAAAATTATTTTGATTGCTTTAAAGAAATTGCTTCATACTTTTGAATGTTGACCTCTAAAAGTATTATTTTTTTTTAATTTTCAATAAAATGCATTTATAAAATTGGTTAGCGCTAAGCATAAAAGCATAAAGCATAAAATTTAATTTTATAATTTAATTTTTATCTTGTAATTTTAATAATTAGAAAACATACTAACGCATTGAACACGCTAATGTAGTGTGAACGCATTTTTGTTGAAAATGTCCAGTACTAGTGCGAATACCGTATCAGAACTAAATTGGTTTATAACGAACTGAAGTCATTTCGTATTGAAAAAAATTTTTAAATCAATTTGAGGCTTACTAGCTAATAATTGTATTGACTTCTAAAATAAGAAATCAGGGAAATTTTTGAAATCATTTCTCTACTAAATCATTATTATGAGATAGAAATGAGACATAAATAAATATTGAAACAATTCTTCTAAATTAACTTAGTATAAAATATTTAGTTTCTTTATAAACTCCAATGATTAGTTAAAATTCTTAACACAATGTACTATATTTGATAATCAGTTTTAGTAAAGTAATCAAGGGTCCGCCATTATTTCAATATAGACACCTTATTTGTACAGATTAATTATAAAACATTGATAACTTCAAATGCATTAATAATTTGAATTTGAAGCATTAGTATTATAAGTTTATGCCTCAATTTTTTAGTTAAACTTATGTTTACTTTTTTTACAAAAATATTTATTATTATTTTTTTTTTTTTTTGGAGTGTCTTATGACATTTTAAAAATCAATTGTATCTTAAATAGTTTCTCCCATAGTGTTTAGAAATAATTGTATTCACATGTAGAGTAATACATATATAGATGACATTGTGCTGCTAACAGTTCCAAGTATGTAGTCGTATAAAATCAATTTTTAATGGCACATAAATGGAAAACGTTTTGTAGTTAAAATGAAGTTGAAAAAGTTTAAACCAGATGCCCTTCAAGTGTTTTTGTAACAACAGACAGCCGCAAAGGGAAGCAACATTGGTGTCGATGTACTGGAAAGTCGGAAACTCAATTACTAAGCATTTCTGTTTAAACATTATCAAACAAATCACTAAAAAGGACTTTAAAATAAGTTGCACAAAATACATATAAATTGCGAGCATTGACCTCTTCAGAAGGGTTAATTAGGTTAATCATTCAGTCTTAAATTCACCAAAAAAAAGTTCTGAAATGATGTTTCACTTCAAACAGTATAATATTGTTAGTCCTCTCATATTTTTTGATGAAACTACTACATATTATATATTAATGCTACGATACATGACTATGTGACTGTGGTTAAAATGGTATTTTACACAGATACGTACTTCACATAAATATTTTTGTACTTATATCACAAATAATAAACAAAAAAAAAATTGGTTTCTTAAC